AAATAAACCTCTCCAAGTGCTGCCTTGCAGCAGGTTACAGCAGGGGATGCAGAGGGAGCATCACCAGGTATCATAGGGTCACCTGCACATCTTTTCCTCACCTGCGAAACAACAAGGATCCACACGAATCAGACGCTGAGTCCAGCTCCCACTGAAGAGCAAACCAGAAACCGTTCAGCATCCTTCACAGGGCCCTTGCAAAAGGGCCAGCCGAGTCTAAGACACCGCAGGCAGCCCATGGCTCTGCAATTAATTCACAAGGCATAGAGGGATCTTTTCTCTCCACCAACAGACTGGAGTAAGTGCTCTTAATGGAGAAAATTATGTGTGTCCTTCAACAAACGCAGAGCGCCCAAGTATAGTAGGTGTGACATGCCTTTAACTGGAGCCAATGAAACACCCAAAGACTGCCAGGAAGAACAAGGGTCAAAGAAAAACCCCGTTCCAACCAGGCTATAAACAGCGCCAGACCCCAAGGCTTGCAAGAGGCTGCGCCGCCTCGCCGGCCAGAGGATGACAACAGAGCCCAGCAAAAAGGGCTCATTCATCCCCCGGGCCAGAGCGAACGGCCAGGGAGGGCTGCGGATCTGGGGGAACGACGGGCAGCAGGTTGGGCAGAGGCGGTATTTTGTGCACGGCTTTTGTTGAGCCTTGAAATGAATTAGCCTCCATCGCCTCGGCTCTCGCTCGTGGTGGCTCACCCCTTTTTTTTCTCCCCCTGTTCTGTTTCCCTTCACCTTCCTCCACGTCCTCCCTTGCCTGCTCCTCGTTTATTAAGGAGGGAGAGGACAGACCGGCCAGTCCAGGGGAACTGCCTGAGAAGTCCTGCTAGGTCTCGCAGCCGCAAGCAGATGTGCGTGCCCTGTGAAAAGACGCCCATTCATCTCTGCGGAGAGCGTGCGGGGGAGGCAGCAGCAGCGCAGGGGAGGGGGGAAGTGTTGGAGGAGGCTGAGAAAAGGAAGGAGGCCACAGTTAAAAATAGGATAAAAGGACATGAAAAAAAATGCAGATTTTTTTTTTTTTTTAAAAGCGTCGCTCGGAAAATGTGCTGCAGCTGGAGAAGCCATCGGGCTGAGCCTGGTCAGCTTTCACCTTCCCCCCCTCTCTCCTCCTCCCCGAGCCCCCTTCCTCCGAGCGTGGGCCTGGAAGACGGCCCAGAAACCGCTCACAGAAAGAGCTTTGCAGGTCTCACAGCAAAGGAGGGGGCAACGTGGGGAAAAGCAGGGGGAGTTCGCCACGGATGCAGGCAGTCCCCACGGGACTCCTGCCTGCAGCCCAGGCTGAGCTGAGAGCTGGGCTTAAAGGACGATCACAGCCAGAGTTAGCAGGGTGGGGGCAAAGGGAAGGCAGCCCTATTTTGTCTGCGTGGGCGTGGGGCAATGCCGCACGCTGCAATGCGTTTGCTCCAGCTACAAGGGCTTTGCTTTCCTGCCAAACCCAGCACAACACCGCTGTGGCCCAGGCTGAAGGGACCCGGTGTCCATGAAGCACCAGGGGGTCAGCTGCATGTTTGCTGCGTTAGGGACATGCCACCCCCAAAGCAAGAAACCCAAAATATTCTGGGCTGAGAGGTGGCACTAAGCTCATATGTCCAGATGGCATCAACAACAGATTGGGTAAGGCTGGTCTGCCACAGCACCGTCCTGAACGGCGCTGCGTGCTGGGGATGAGCCTATGGTGATGCCTTTTATTCGTGACAGTGTCTCAGTGCGGGAAGTCTGACCGAAATCTGCTGGACTGCTTTCACGGCGGCATCAGACCCGCAGCTCTAATTTCTCCTCTAGAAAACGCTTTCATTTCATTTCTTGCCTTGCAAATCCCAAAGCCAATCCCATTTGCCTTAGCGAAAGCAAGATCACTCCCCCAAAAGCTCCTGTAGTTTCCAAAAGGCTGGGAGCACCTTCAGTCCAAGCCTGCTAATTCAGCACCACAGTCGTAGAAACTTCTTCAGCCAGAGTCGTTTCATACCTCGCTTGCCATTAACAACAGTTTTATCTCCCCTATCACTAAGGAAAACAAACGAGTTCAGAGTGGAAGGGGCTGTCAAAGTGGCCTTGGCTCAGAAAGGCAGCGCAGTCAGGACTATGTCCGTACTGAAATGATAATACTGCTATCAAATCTCTTCCTCCACTCCAGTTTTGTACCTAACCTTGTCTCAGCCAGAAAACACTACCAGAGGTTAACATTAGGATACTATTACCTTAGCAACTAAGCATACAGGGCTAAGTGTGGCTTGCAGCATCCTTTCAGCAACCCTGCTGCTGCGGGCAGACACATGGCACCCTTAATTTTGGGCTGCCAGATGGTTCAGCTAAGGTGCAATGGCCTCTACGCTCCTACTCCCACCTGTCCAAGGAGCAGAGCTACTTTTCATAAACAGGGAGCAGCTCCCTTCTTGCTAGTTTTTTTTCTACCACCTCTGGGATGTGCCCTTTGCTTGCTGTGGACCCAGTTTAGGCTGATTCTCTGAGCAGTAGTAATCCCAACATATGCACCGCAGATTGTGGTAGCAAGCTACCAAATAAAACTGACTCTATACCATTTCCAAATTTTTGCTTTTTAAACAAAAACCACCACCACCCCTTCTTGTATTTATCAACAAGCTAAATCCACATCAGGCTTTCCTTTATCCATATCACTGAATAATCTAATCGGACTTCAAGCACAATGTAAATAAACTCACCCAAGCTTCAAAGGCAAAATATCTTCTCTAAACGCAAGCAGCTCTAAAACTTTTAGAAATGTTGTGGGTTTCTATTGCAAGAGGATATATTCACACTTGCATTTTCCTTGTTGACTTCTTTCTTTCACCAACATCAAGACCATGAAAACCAAAATAGCCTCTAGTACGCTAGAAGAATAGATGACAAATGGTTTTAATGTGCACCCGAAACACAAAGGAGAAATGAAAGACCGTTCCTAGCAGTATATACAAATAAGAGTTTCCTCTCATTTAAAATTAGCAACTGCTCTAGGCTGAAAAAACAGCAGTATAAAAAAAAATCAGAGAAAGAGTACCTTGCACTGCAACAGGAAGAACTGAAAAGTAATTCTTAGGTATTGCAAGAGAATCAGAGGCCTGCCCTACCCGTCCCAATGCACCGAAAGTTTGATCGAAACCTGTTGAAGACAACGACAGCTTTTTTTTTACTGGCTTCGCTGAGGTTTGAACCAGGCTCCAGTCTCTGCAACAAGAAATTTCACAGACCCAGCATGGGGCAATGAAGATCTGGGTTGCAGATATGTTGGTCCCTCGAGAGAGCACTTTCATAGAAAAGGGGAGAGGGTAGGGAAAAAAACACAAAGAAAACTTTCCAGGCACAGATTTGCAAAATGTTTGAGTAAATCCAAATGCTGCAAGGGCAGATTTCGTCAGAGCAGAGTTGACATCATGCTGAGAGAGGTCACCCACAGGAGTTCAGCAAATAGCTGAAATAAGAACGGCTGGGAATAGGCAGCAGAGTTTTACTCCAGCCACAGGCGCAGCACTCTGCGTCCATCTCCTGCTCACACACAAGTGCTCACCAAAGGAGAAAAAAAAAACCTGAAATGCCTGAATATTTGCCAAGGAGAGATTTCAAACTGTACATTTGACCGCAACAGTCACTGGTTCTGCTGAACTCTTTAGCTGCAAAAAGTCTCTAAACATCAGGGCTTTTCCCCTCCCAAGGGGCCAATGTGCATAACTAACGAGCCGGGAACAAGTCACAGAAGACCAGCACATGCCATGCAAAAGCTTACGTGGGATTTAAATGCTTCATGATAGGCTTAAGTCGGACTTAAGTGAAACATAAACTTCATATTGGCCCTTTGCAAAGGTCACATTCGTGCAACTTGAGCTCTTTCGCTTAGTTCCTGCGGTTGGCCTGTGCCACGGCGTACCTGAGCCTTCTCCTCCGCCACTGCACAACCGGGCTCTTTGCTGCTGCCTCATCACCCATCCCGCAGGCAGGAGGACCCACTGCCTGCCCAACATCTGCACTGCCAGTTGGTTATACAAGAAGCAGCCCAAACTGCAAACTCAGCTTGAAGATTCACGGGTTGAACAACGTGCGGGGCAAGAATTAGTCACCAGCTATTTTGTAACGACTTTCAAATTATGAATGCATTAGAGAAGATGATCACCTAGTCCAAGTCAGTGAATTGCTTTAGCTGTGCAGCACATTGCAACCATGCAGCCCTGACAGCTCAGCGTGACCACACATCTCCAGTTGTGGTGACCTGAAGACCATGCCACCACCCTCCCAAGGAGCAAGGCAATGAGCTACAAGAGCAAGAGACCCAAAATTACAACCACAGTGGAATTAAAACTTGGGAGTCCCTGGCTCCTTGCAACCCTCCATGAAGGCCACTTTCCAAAGCCACTGGCAAGGACATCAGTCCTGCAAACATTAAGAGAAATGCTGAAGATGCAACCAGCAGGTTGGCAGGTCCACCTTGCCCATGGTGGCCTCCCAGAGACCCCCATGTCTGTCAAGACCTGAGGGAGCAGTAACCAGGGCTGCAGTCCCTAAATGCAAAGGAGGTGCACACAAGACATCAAAATCACCACCTGAAAGAGGAGAGGGGTCCTCCCAGCCAGGCACCCATGCCATGGCAGGGAAGAAGGACGCTCCCATCCTTCAGCATTGCTCTGACAATAGTTAATAGTTAAACAAAGCAGCTTTAATAATAGTTAAACAAAGCAGCTTTAAGGTTTTTATCTGCTTTCTGGCCCCATCTCCACTGAGGGAGACCCTTGACGGCCAGCAAGGCAAGTACCAACCTGGCGATGCTATGGTAGGTGCCTTATGGCTGTGTTAAGGGCAAAACACCCCAATAAATTAAGTCAGGACTGGGGCAGAAAGCAAATATAGGAGGAAGGAGACAAGGGGGACACACCAGACAACAAACAACAGCATAGCGGGGCTTTAAGGCTCATCTTTGCACCCAAGCCCCACGGCATGGGAGGGAAAGGCGCCATCCCGTTTCGCAAACCCACCCCCAAAATGGTGTCCTACCCGTGCTGTAGTGCTCCAGGCCGGTGGGCACTTCTTGGGTGGCAGGCTCGTCCCAGAGCGGGCAGCACGTCCTCGGCTGGCAGCAGGCGGCCTGAAAGCCGCAGGTCACCCAGGGATCCTCACAGGGGCCGGTGGCACCTTGCTTCTGGGAGCAGGAGAGGGACAAGCGTCAGGGGAGCGGGACCCCGAAATGCCCACCCTCTGCAAGGTGGCAGCGCACCTTTCCCCCTCCAGATCAGGCACGAAGCCCCGGGTTTGCTCATAAGAAACACCGTCATCCAAACTCACCTGGCTGAGGGGCATCATGATGAGGCCGGAAAGGCCCTTTTTTAGACAAACATGAGGAAAAAAACTGAAGGCCTGCAGTGAGGCTGTGCTCAGCAAGATGGCGGTGGGGAGGGGCTTTCCTCAGGGCCGGCTGTGGGAGGGCACCCTCCATGAGAGGGGGCTCGTTTCAGCCCCGCCACCTGAAACTGGTGTTTTTTGGCAGCGTGAGGCAGAAGCCCTGTATTCCCCCCAAAAATGTGGGGGGCTTGTGAGGGGGCAGAGAGGCCACAGCCCTGCCTGGGTGGCAGCCCTGGCACTATGGGGCAGCCCGGCCCCACGCTGGTGGGAGCTGCGGCAAGCCCTCATATTTATGCTCATGTTCCTATTTGTACTGATATTATTTGTGATTATTATGTTTATATTTATGTCTATCTTTATATTTGTGTCATTTGTACTTATGTTAGGTGTATTTATGTGGCCATGGACATATATGTGTATGGACATACATGTGTCCGGACATATATGTGGCCATGGACATATATGTGTATATGCCTATGTGGTATGCACACATGAAGTATATACACGTGTATATTTGTATAAACTTATGTATTATTACATATATATTACATAATATACTGTAATATTGTATGATTACACATCATACGTTATATGTATATACATGTATTGATTATATGTGTGCTATAGGCATGTATATACCCACACGAATGTAATCCTAGGTTATAACTGCCATTATATATTATACATGTTTGGTTTTATTGTACGTAAAGTTATATTCATACTTTATAAAGAAAATATATGTATTATATACCCAAGCATATACAGGTATATGGAAATAATCCCAGGATAAAATTTTCATTTTATTTTATACATACCTATTTTATACATATATATTATAAATATGTGTAACTATTGAGTGTATATATGTATATACCTTATATACATATTTACTGTACATACATTCATGTATATACGTATATACCGCAAAAAATAGATATGGTACATATATGTGTATATCTCTGTATAAGAGGATAACAACATGTACATACATATAAATAAATACAGGATGTTTTCATTTTTTCTTTATTATTATTATTATTATTATTATTATTGATATTATTGATATTATTGATATTATTTCACTGCAGGGAAATAGTTTTGCTTTGTTTCCAATCAATATTTAAATGCCAAACGCATGCTTGGAACCATTTAATGGCAAAATATCGAGCTGTGTTAGAAATATTCCATGTGTCAGAGTGGTCTTTTCTTCCTAATTTGGTGAAAATGTTGCTTTCTAGCAAGTTTTCTCTGCAGCCTGGTGTCTCGGCTCAGAGTTACAGCTTTCATCTGACCTTGTCTGGGATCTTTAACACCAGCCAGCATATCTTTGGGCAAACGTCTATTAATGTGATTTCTCTAAATAAGGGTCGAAGCACGGTCAAACCTGTCCCGTAGCTGCTGGCAGTCGGCACAGGCATGCCCAGGATCCCTAATATATGTTATACCTAACCACCCATCGGCTGCACAGACAGAAAGGAGCTGGCTCGGGAGAGGGAGCAGCAAAGTTGTCCAAAAGCTCCAGCCAAACCACCCGAGCCTTTTCCGAAGCCCGGTCTGCTTTGTGCTGATCCCGCTGCGCTCATCCCCAGCAGGCGAAGGTCAGCACGGGGAGCGGAGGCGCCGGGACAATGGTTACCCTAACAATCCTCCTCCGGACGCAAGCGCAGGAAATCCGATGCAGCAATCCTGTTTCCAGTTGAGGTTTGCAAGCTCGAGAGGTTCAGATAAGCTGCGGGTAAACACCCAGCACTCGGACACTGCTCCGAACTACCTGAAACCTTGGAACGATTCAGCGGTCGACACCAAGCTGTGTCAGTGAACGGCTTGGCAAAGTCACAGCAACCCAAGAGAAAACCCACTGCTAGGGACAGAAAAACAACCCAAACTCCTTTCTTACCATCGCTCCAGGGCGAGCCAAAGGGTAAGGGGCTGTGTTGCCGATGGTTGTGTCCATATAATAACTCATCATCTCAGAGGTGCCTGCAGAAATGGAGACGGACATTAGATGCCCTGCTGCAGAAAGCATAAAAATTGATAGCGTCGGCTAAACCTGTGCTTTCTCACAGCCATACAAAGCTAGGACCAGACTATCATCTTAATGAGTTTAAGCTGGAAAAGTTAAAAGGAAAAATATCTGTATTAATAGCAGATATTGTGATTAGATGTGTTGTACCAACAATGCAAACACAGGGATCCATTAGTGTAAACTGATGAGAGCCTGACAATGGTGAATGAATTATCACCTGGACGCTGATGGAGCTCCTCTGAGGGAAGATGAGGTCATATTTCCTTTGCTGTAGAATCGGTGGGAAATTGTTGCCAATTTTTTTCTTTTGACAAAAAAAAAAAAAAAAAAAAGCCAGTTTGTCGAGATCAACACCTTTCCTGTAAAAGTTTCGTCGAAAACAATCTGTTTCACAAAGAACTTCACTCTTTTCAAGAGACATCTTCTGTTTTCCTGCATTAGCTTACGTCCCCCTTGCTAAAGCTCGCCCTTGCATTGCTAAGATTTGTATTCCTGGGTAATGTACAGCTCCCTAAACATCCACCTCAGCCCACATGTCACAGCTTCACCTGTCATTCCTAGCATGGGATGTACTCCTCTGAGCAAGTCCGTCTGCCAGCGTTGCTCATTAGACGTGATTTTTAATCACCAGTTAGCCCATTTGTGTAGCTGAGGTGGAGGAGCTGCAATCTGGCTCTGTTTTCAAACATGTAGCTGTTTCTCCCCCCTCTTCTTTAAATGCCCAGCGGAAAACGCGAGGCCGACGAATGCGCTTTCTGTGTTTTGGGGAATATGACTCAAAGGTGCTGGGAGGAAGGAGTAAAGGGGGAGCAGCCCGGGCTCGGAAGGGCTCGCTCAGGCAGGATACGACTGGGAGCCAAGGGGAATGGCTATTTGCATCACGCTGGTACGCGGCAGAGCCTGCGAGACGGCAGAGCTGCCGCTGCTTTAACCTCTGGGAGGACACAGCGGCTCCTCTGAAATACCTCCCTTTTGATTTCTGCAGGCCTCCCTTTTGATTTCTCCCCTCCGCTCCTTCCCCACGCAGGGAGCCAGGGGCTTCGCCGCTGCGGGGGCCGGCCAGCAACCGCCCGGGCAAGGGGCAGAGCCTGCTTCAGCCGTGCCTCACTCACCACCTCGGCAAACAGGGACTCCAGAGAGCGTCTCCCACCGCGCTCTGACTAATGCCCAAATGTGAAACACCTGCGTGTGTATGTGTATTAAATTATTATCATCATTTCCTGCCTGTTATTACTAACTTTTGCTCTAACACCAGTATTTTTTTTTTTTAATTTCTCTTTTTTAATTCACAAAGCTGAAAACTACCTACGTGGTGAAAGAATAACGAGCCTGTTTCTCTTTGCACTTAGAGCAACCCAAAACCGCACATATTGTAAGTTACTGTGCCTAAGAAGCCTTACCTAATCTCAGCATCTGTGCACACCCTACCAGCCTGCCTAACTAGGTGTTAAAACACGTTTGCTTAAATCTCATTGTGTCTGGGTCAGCCTGCAGCTGGGTAAAACAAAGAAGGTGCATGGAGCCCATTTCTGCATGAAGGGCATGGTGCTCAGTCCCAGTCCATCCATCTGTCCATCCGTCCATCCACCTGTCCCCTGATCCTAACCTTAAACAAGTGTAAACCGTCTCCCATAAACATGAACTGATCTCCCTCTTGCTCTAAAGTAAAGACTGCTGCTGCCAAACTGTACCAAAGCAAGACAGACACTGCAAAATGGAGACGGAGAAACCTCCGGGCTGATTCACCTATTTCAATGACACACACGTGTCCGAGAGTAAGGAGTTACAGCGTTAAAACAGCAGTTAAAACAGCCGTCCCCATGAGCAGCTCTTTTCCTGCTTTGCAGCTTGTGCAGTAGGCAGTTGGGGTTGTTTTTTTTTTCTTTTTCCTTTGATCAAGACACCTAAGTCGCGCTGGTTCTCGAGAACCGCTTTCATGCCTCTCCGAATGTCGTTTGCGTCTTTCTCAGGATGCCGTTGCCAGCTGAACCTTCCAGCAAAGTACCACACGTTGATGCTTGAAGCGGCATGAGCTTCGGTCGCAGGAGAAGCGCTAAACCCATCCTGACACCCAGGACAAGGCTTCATGCAGTAAAGAATACCGATAAGATTGCCAGAGCTGTAAAGCAGCACCAGCGACCCCCTCCCGAGCCCTGGACTGGAAAAGGGGAATTATCATCTCTAGTCAGCAGCTCCAACAGATTTATAGCGAGGACGGTTTGCTTTTCGGTTTCTCTTCCCCTGCAAGCTGTACTGTTAAAAAGCACAAACGGGGGTCAGAAATGCAATGCAAACCTCAGCAACCAATTGCACCCCCATCCCTGTCTGTTGAAGACAAGTCCAACTTAAACGCAAGTCAAATCGGTCCCCCAACCTGACGCAGATTTTGTGGGTGATAACGGTTAAACGACAGAGAGACGCAGGCTTTAGGCTGCGAAAAGGACCTGGAAGACAAGCCCTGCTAGAAAAAGGCAGGTGAGCAGATTCTGCGCACAAAATCATTGTGCTCTGGAAAAACAGGTCTGCAAGGCCAGCAACAGGAGGCAAGATGACAGCAGAAAGGGAGCTCCGAAGTGCTTTGTCCAGGCTAATTTTAACAGAACTTCCACCACTTCCCATAGGAAACTACTTCACAGCCCAATACATCTCTCACTGTCAGCAAGTTTCCCTGATGTTTGGGCGATATTTTTCTTCTCTTTAGCTTCCTCTAATAAGAGCCTAAATAGTTCCTCTCCTCCCCTTGGATGCCATTAGATAGCTTTAATGACCGCTCAGGAGCTTGCAGCTGAGCTAAATTCAATGATAGCACGCTTCGTGGCAGGTAACTTGGCCGATATTAAGGAAATCGCTGCAGATTTACACCGCGATAATCAAGATCCATAGCTTGCTGAGAGCTGCTAATAAATAGAAGGGAATCAGAGCCATTTGGTAAAATCCTTAATGACTTAACAGCTTGACTTCAGTCTTATTGTTTGCTCTTATTATTCCTGTCTTATTGTGAAAACATGTGTGGGAGAAACAGCATTTATTTTGGGACTTGATCAAGTACCAGCCAAAGCTATTAGACTCTTGGGTCATTTCTAAACTAAATTAAAATTTTAATTTCATTTCAACATCCATCCCTCCTCTTTTACAAGAGATTTTTTTTTTAAACGAATTACCAAGCTTAGTTTAAAAAGGCAAAAGCTGTTTGTCCTCATGATTAAGACACACACCCATGCAGAAGTTAGGAAGGAGTTAAAAATGTCTATTAAAACAAAGCAAACTTTGTCTATTGGATGTATGAAGACCCTTCACAATATTCCCACACAACATCTAAGTATTATATTGTTGTAAGGATGGGGAAAGGGAAGCGGAGGGAGACGCAGTGGCTTTCCCGTGGCAGAGTCAAGACCAGCAGCTCCCATCTCTGGTTCCCAGTTTAATGCTCTGGGCACGGGTCTCCCCTGTCTCTTGCAAAATCCTCGGGCTCAGATTGCTCCCCAGTTTCCGAGTTGTAGGAAACTTTAGCTTCTGCCCATCCCATATCCCTCAGCCCCGGGCTGGCAACCCAGTAAAGGTGTCACTGAAGGGTGGCACGACTGGGACAGCTACAAAACAGTAGTCGGGCACTTTTCTCCATCCCCATAAGCCAACAAGATTCCCTTTCCACGGGGTTAGATGGGAAGGCAGGAGGATGGGGCAGCATCAGCAACCCCATCAAAATATTTCTAACTTCAAGAACGTGAATGAAGACTTTAAAAATGAGAAGCCGCACCTTCAACACGACCAGCCTCCCTGACCCAAAGCTGCTTAGTGATAGCCATTTTATTTTTGCATCAAGTAATAATTTATCATCTTTGAGGGGGTGGGGAAAATAGCTCATGGAAATGACATTCTTCCGCAAGGTTTTAACCCTTGAAATCCTGGCACTTTCCAGGCTGCCTGCCAATTCAGTTCTCAGGGGAAAGTGTATGGT